AGGCCTCTTATTTGCACATATGAACTTAGTAATCATCTTTCTAATTATTACAAAGAAAGTTCCCGGTAAAGATATCGGGAGCATCTGAAACTTATATACTATTTTTGGGAGTATCACCATCTTGACTACGGTAAATTATTTCTTCCAATCCACGAGGCCCCCCCCCCCTTTTACTAGTCTTTTCAGCTCGTCTTTTATTTTCATTTATAAGGGGAATATAGTTTATTTGGTATATGCTTTTTACCGAAGTCGTTATTTTATTTCCAAGATATCCTATTTCGTTTTTCCTCCAGGAAAAAGGGAACGCATTTTGTAATCTTTGCTTTTCTGTGACTAAATAAAATGAAATAGGAAAACTTTCTATCAATAATAAAAAACAAAAAATATATATATATATAATAGCAACTCCCAACCCAAAAAAAAAAAAATTATTTTGGCATAAAGTGAAAAAATGTATACAAAGGAATGCGCTAAATAAAATGTCACTACTGTAGATAATTAAGTGTCCATAATAAATCTGTGCAAGTCCAAACATCATAAAAACTCAAATTTCATCTGTGAACTCATAACACCGTGAATGATCCACCACCAAATGAATTAGATGGAATCACCAGAGCTAAATGCTGATCAGATTATAGACCAGCACCAGCGCTTTTGCTCTGGGAGCGATGGGTAAACGATATCCATATTGTAGATATAATATTTCGCAGTAATATTCACATATCCAGGTGATCAGTAGCAATATTCGGCAATGATGAACAACATCTCTCACTAACAGAAGCAATGCTCTGCAGTCAGAAATCTCAGGATGAATCCTCCATGAACCATCGTATCTCCATAAATGTATGAGCCACACTCAGGGACAAATTAAAAGAAATGATGGTGCAGCACGTTTAAAATACATATATTTTGGTGTCGGAGGTGATCCACGGTGAGCGGGGATTGTCCTCTACTCAGTGCTGTATATTGCTGATCAAGCTGGTGTCTGTCTGGACACCCTATTTGTGAGTGCTTTGGATGTTTTAATAAATGTATATGTGTTTTTAAACGTGCTGCACCATCATTTCTTTTCCTTTGTCCCTGAGTGTGGCTCATACATTTATGGAGATACGGTGGTACATGGAGAGATTCATCCTGAGTTTTTTCTGTGACTGCAAGATTGATATTTAGGATTTCCAATTTAACCGGGTTTATCTTCAAGTTTGATACTCCTCCATATTGTTTTAGTTCTTTCATTAAGTTGGGCAAAGTTGTCCTAGGGTTAGCCACGTAGAACAGCATGTCATCTGCATTAGCAGTGACTTTGTGTTCCCTATCTCCTATTTTTAACCCTTTTATGTCATTACTTTTCCTGATCCTCTCCAACAATGGTTCTAATGACAACACAAACAACATGGGGGAGAGGGGGCAACCCTGCCTAGTTCCATTATTCATCCTGAAAAACTGGGATAAGGTTCCATTTAACTTTACCGCCGCTGATGGGTTCTTAGATCATCCTTTTATCCAATTCATCATTTTAGGTCCCAGCCCCAATTTTTCAAGTGTGTCAAACATAAACCCCCAGTTGACCCTGTCAAATGCCTTTTCTGCATCGCTCGACAATAAGATCGCAGATGTTTTTTCCTTTTTAGCTTTTTGTACCAACATCAAAGATCTCAGACCGTTGTCCCTCCCCTCTCTCCCTCTATACCCACCTGATATAAATGCACCCATTTGGCCTTCAGATCCTTCAACTTTGCAGCCAGTACTTTTGCGTACAATTTGGTATCAATGTTTAGCAATGAAATCGGCCTATAGCTTACGCACTGAGAACTATCCTTGCCCTCCTTCAAAATGAGGGTGATATAAGCCTTGAGGGATTCTTCCCTCATATCTACTCCCTCTCCTATCACATTCATATATTTACATATTTTGGGAACCAATATCTCTTTAAATTTTTTCAGGTATCTTACTGTATTCACATCTGGCCCAGGACTCTTACCCACTTTCTTATTTTTTTAAAGCAACATTAATTTCCTTGGGGGTGATCAGGCTTTCAAGATTTTTTAGTTTTTCCATTGCTATATTTGGGAACTCCACCTCACTTAAATAGCCCTGTATTCTTTTCTCCTCCTCCTCTTCACGTCCCCCATACTTATCCTTTCTTACATTATAAAGTTCACTATAGTAATTATGAAACCTCCTAGCAATGTCAGATGTTTTAAACAAATTCTCTCCCTTCCAGTCACTAATTTTTTTCAATAAAATTCATCGCCTGTTTATTCCTGAGTCTTCTCATTAAATATTTTCCTGGTTTATTCCCCCATTGATATCTTTCTTTAGCCATTCTAATAAATATCCTCCTAGAATCCTGTTCCATCAGTTCTTTCAACTCATCTCTTTTTTGTATTATCTTTTGATATTTATCCATCCCCTTTTCCTTTTTGTGAGTTTGTTCCAGTTTTTGCAGTTCTTCTATGGCCTGTTTTAATTTTTTCTCCTTTCCTTCTTCTTTTCTATGCCTATGGAAATCAATATTCCTCTGATGTAAGCTTTATGTGACTCCCACTCTATTGCCCCTGACATTCCCTCAGTCTCATTTATCTCAAAAAATTGTTCAATTTCCCTTTTTATCCTCTTCTCCACTTCAGGATCCATTAAAAGCAAATCATTCAATTTCCAAGATAATGTTTTATCTTCTCCACTCCCCATTTGAAACCTCATTGTGACTGGGGCATGATCTGATAATGACATTACTTCAATCTTAGATCCTTTTACTATATCCAACTGTCTATGCTCCACCATTATATAATCCAATCTTGAATATGTACCATGGGCATGTGAGAAGAAAGTGTAATCTTTTTCCCTCGGATGGTTTATCCTCCACACATCAACCAACTGATATCTATACAATACCCCCTTCAAAGAATTAAGACTCCTCTCTCTTTCTCTCCTCGCCCCAGATGACACATCCCATCTGGGATCCAAACACAGATTAAAATCCCCCGCCATTACCAGGTTTCCCTTTTTAAACTCCATGAGTTTCCCTTAATGCCACTTCCAAAAATCTGGGTTTTTATTTGGGCAATATATGTTAGCGAGTGTATATTCCTTTCCTAATAATTTCCCCCTGATAAACAAGAATCGACCTTTCAAATCTTCCATTCTATTCTTCAATTGGAAATCAACTTTTACTGAAAAACCAATTGCTACTCCTTTTGCCCCCTTTACAGGTGAATCCGCATATTTCCATGTTTGATATTGCTTTGAATATAATTTCACATTTATATTTCTAGCTAGGTGAGTCTCTTGGAAGAATATTATATCTATTGAGTATTGTTGGACCTCCCTCAATATCTTATCTCTTTTGCTGGGTGAGTTTAGCCCTTTCACATTATAGGTCATAAACTTAATATCATTCATACCCTCTGTTCTTTTTTTGATCTGTTCCCTTTGATTCCTTTCCACTTGAATACGGATAATTACTACTAAATCCCTTCTGTACCCCATCTCCTCCCACCCCCTTCCCTTTCCCCTCCTCCCTCTCCTGCACCCCAACTGTATCTGACATTTTTGTCTCTCTCATATGGATTAAAAGTGGTTTAAGGGCTCTCCTTCTCGCCAATGTCTCTGGGGAAATATCAGCATAAATTTGTATGACCGAAGCTTCAAATTTTATTTCCGGAAAATCCTGCAACCCTTTCCAAATCTGGTCCCGATCTCCAATATCCTGAAATCTGGCTATCACGTCTCTGGGTCTTTCTGCTGATATACCCTTTGTCAGGAATGGACTCGGCACTGGTGGTGGGACTCACCTGCCGTGTGGGCTGCAGTACCAGAGCTGACCAGCGGGTGCTCTCTCTTTGGTACCTTGCTGCCCGCACATTGCTGACCTGGCCCGTCTGACCACGCTAACTACTCTGCCATCCATCCATCCTGCAGGGATCCAGCCGTCCCTGCTCACACCTTCTGCCTCTTCACATCAGGCTTTCTACCTGCACATACCTCTGGCGGATCCCTCTACCACTAGCAGGTGTACTCAGGGGCCGCGACCTGGTTCCTGTCTGCTCCAAGTCCATCCCCACCATCAGGGGCCCTGGTGAATAAGCAGACTGGGACTTAGACTCCGCGCCCTGGGGAATCCTGTCCTGAGGACCGCTAGAGGTACCACCAAACGGTCATTACAGAACCCTATGGCCGGCCTGACCGTTCCACCTCTCCAGCCCTGACTACGCCTGTATTCCTGCACCTCCTAAGATTAGTGGAAGGTTGGTTTGCTCACTGTGCGTTTATATATATATATATATATATATATATATATATATATATATATATATATATATCTGGGTGGCTAATAATAAACTGTATTATACTGTACCTGAGACCTGCGTTTCCCTGTGTCAGTCCACACCTTTCTGGTCATTCCTAGATTCCTGACACCCTTTGGCCTTCTGACCCTATATACTCTGTCCATTTTTATCTGTCTCCGGTCTTCCCATAATTGGGTTGCAAATTCTTTTAATTTTCCCCAGAAAGCCTTCCTCTTGTCCTTTTTCTTCCGGAATACCTCTAAACCTCAAATTAGTTCTTCTACTGAGGTTCTCCTGATCTTCCATTTTAAATAATACTTCTCTCATTTCTAATCGCCTCTCTTCTATTTGCATTTCTAATCTCTCAATTTTTAGTGTGTGTTCCTCTACTCTTTTCTCCGACTCCTCCAAATGGGACAGTACATTACCCAGATCACCTCGGAGGTTCCAGATCTCCTTCTTGACAACCATCTCCAATTTCGTGAACATTTCTATCAAATCTTTTTTTGAAAGGGTATGTACTGAGAGTTTGCACTTGCCTGGGGTGTTTTAGGGCCACCCCCTTTAGTTGGTTTACTTCTCATTTTCTTTAGAGGATTCCCGTTTAATGACTTATTTGTTATTTCAGACTGGGGTAGGCCTTCTATATATATATATATATATATATATATATATATATATATATATATATATATATAATATAGGTCTACTCAGGGGCGGACTACTGACCATTCGAGCACTCGGGCACTGCCAGAGGGCCCGGGGTCAGTAGCGGGCCCCATGAAATGCCCCTTGTACCTTTTATACATTTTTGGATGTGCTTTGAGTGTGGGCAAGGACACAGGGGCCCCATGATCCCATATTGTCCGGGGGCCCCATGAGTCAGTCCGCCCCTGGGTCTACTATATAAGACTAACTTGGATCTTCTGTATTGAATTTGCGTAAATCTGCAATATACAGCTAATACGTGTCTGCTGTATAGTACTTGAATTAAGTCAGCAATATATAACTTGATGAAGATCAGCTGATCAGATACAATTTGATGTGTGTCTACTATTTGAAGTTTTGTGCAGATCTACTATGTAACACTAGACGGAATTCCACTGTATAGACCTTGGTGCAGGTCACTTGTTTGGACTTTCATATGAATCTGTTGTTTGGAGCTTATTGCGGGTCTGCTGCGTTGTATATAACAAGAGCCTGCTATTTTATGGCTTCGTACAGGTCTGCTGTATAAAATTTGGTGTGAGTCTGCTGTTTGGAGCTAGGTGCGGGTCCGCTGTATAACGTTTGGCGTCAATCAGCTGTATAGAGCTTGTTGCAGGTACGCTGTATATGCTTTGGTACAGGGGTGGACTGACCATTTGGAAACTCCGGCACTGCTCGAGGGCCCGGGGTCAGTAGGGGGCCCCATGAGATGCCCCTGGTACCTTTTTCATAGGCTTTTTTGAGTTTGGGCATGGACACAGGGGCCCCATGATCCCTATTGCCCGGGGACCCCATGAGTTGTCAGTCTGTCCCTACTTTGGTATAAATCTGCATTTAAGAGCTTGGTGTGGATCTGCTGTATGATGCTTGACGAGAATCAGCTGTAACTGAATATCAGTCTTTAGACTTCCACCAGCACCGACAGACATTGGTAATACAGTTCTCAAACAAATGTACCCAGTGTGCTGGGAAATGTCTGCAGCAACCCTTAATCGCCCTGCACCAGGAAATCTGTACCACCTTGGTGCAGGTCACTTGTTAAGACTTCCGTATGAGTCTATTGTTTGGAGCTTAGTGCGGGTCTGCCGCATTGTATTTAACAAAAGCCTGCTACATATAGCTTAGTACAGGTCTGTTATATATGATTTGGTGTGAGTCTGCTGTTTGGAGCAAGGTGCGAATCCACTGTATAACATTTGACGTCAGTCAGCTGTATAGAGCTTGTTACAGGTACGCTGTATATACTTTGGTATAGATCTACATTTAAAAGCTTGATGTGGGTTTGCTGTATGGTGCTTGACAAAAATCAGCTGCAACTAAACATCAGTCTTTAGACTTCCACCAGCACCAACAGACATTGGTAATACAGTTCTCAAACAAATGTACCCAGTGTGCTGGGAAATGTCTGCAGCAACCCTTAATCACCCTACACCAGGAAATCTGCACCAACCTTTTAGTATATGTTTTATTTTATATGCCCAGTAGAATACGAGATGAATTTGGAATTGACCATATGTCCCCAGGCTCTGGTCCCACTGCTGCTGCTCCCTTCCCCTTCTAACCTGTGACCGCAAGTCCTCCGGTCCTCAGGCAGTATCCGGGGCAGCTGCGTGTCCTTCCGTACCTCTCCATGTCCTTGCTTCTTCTTTCTCCTTCCTCGGCCACTTCCCCTAGCACACCAGCTCCAGACTCACATGGGTGCGGACTAGTCCATGGTTCCGCTTGTCAGTGTCCTCTGGTTTCCATTATAACATAGCCTGCCCATGGCTACGTACACTTACATACATTTGTTTTGGGGATTTTTTTAGAAACATAGAAAAGTGACAGCAGAAAAGGACCGAGTGGTCCATCGAGTCTGACCATTTTTTCTTTTTTTGTGTGTGTGTGCTGGTTTCTTTTTTTTTGGGGGGGAGGGTTGTGTTTTTTTGTTAACTTTTTTGTCTGAGTATAGATCTATGCTTGTCCCAAGCATGTTTGAAGCCATTTACTGTTGACTGGCTCACTTTCAGTTGGAGGTTTATTCAAAGCATCAACTACTCTTTCAGTAAAATAGTACTTTCTGAGATTAGTTTTCAACTTTCCTCCAGTTAGTTTAAGGTTGTCCTTATGTTCTTGGTTTTGGTTTCGTGTTGAAAATACTGCCCTCCTGAACCTTATTCACCCCCTTGATGTATTTAAAGGTTTCAGTTATGTCTCCCCTTTCCCTTCTTTCCTCCAGACTGTACATGTTAAGTTCCTGAAGTTGCTCTTGATATGTTTTATCCCCCAGACATTTAACCATTTTTGTTACCCGTCTCTGGACTTTTTCAATATATTTTTGTAAGTGAGGTCTCCAGAACTGTACACAGTATTCTAAACTAAAGATCTATATAGGGGAATCAGGACCTCCTTCCTTCTACTGGTTACCCCTCTAGTGATGCATCCTAGAATTCTATTTACTTTCCCCACTGCCTGGCCACACTGTTTGCTCATTTTGCAATCATCTGAAATAAGTACCCCCAAGTCTTTTTTCTTCTGAAGTGTTGGCCAACAATGTACCCCAATGTTGTATTCTTTCGAGGGATTCCTTTTCCCCAGGTGCCTTATTTTACATTTAGAAACATTGAATTGTTATTTCCACTTTTTTTGACCAATCTTCCATTAATGCCAAATCATGTTCCATGATAGACACCTCCAGGGATATCAACCTATTGCACACCTTTGCTTCATCAACAAAAAGACATACCTTACCCAGCAAACCTTTAGTTATATCACTTATAGATTAAATAGAACAGGACCTAGTACAGAGCCTTGTGGTACACCACTAGTGACTGGTCTCTGTTCCGAGTGAACCACATTTACAGCCACACTCTGGTATCTATCCTTTAGCCAGCTGCATATCCACTGAACCACCCAAGGGCTAAGTCCTAGCTTGTACAACTTTTGTATTAGATCATTATGTGGAACTGTATCAAATGCCTTGCTGAAATCAAGATCTGCTATAGTCAAAAAAAACCAGTCAGATTATACTGACATGATCTGCCCTCAGTAAACCCATACTGCTTTGCATCCAGCAAGTTGTGTGTTTTTAAGTGATCAATGATGCTTCTTTTCAGGAGTGATTCCATTAACTTGACTACAACCAACTGCTACAGTACAGCAGGGCTGCGCAAAACACGCACACACACACATACAGTCAGGGCCATAAATATTGGGACATCGACACAATTCTAACATTTTTGGCTCTATACACCACCACACAATGGATTTGAAATGAAACAAACAAGATGTGCTTTAACTGCAGACTGTCAGCTTTAATTTGAGGGTATTTACATTCAAATAAGGTGAACGGTGTAGGAATTGCAACAGTTTGCATATGTGCCTCCCACTTGTTAAGGGACCAAAACTAATGGGAAAATTGGCTTCTCAGCTGTTCTATGGCCAGGTGTGTGTGTTATTCCCTCATTATCCCAATTACAATGAGCAGATAAAAGGTCCAGAGTTCATTTCAAGTGTGTTATTTGCATTTGGAATGTTTTGCTGTCAACTCTCAAGATGAGATCCAAAGAGCTGTCACTATCAGTGAAGCAAGCCATCACTAGGCTGAAAAAACAAAACAAACCCATCAGAGAGATAGCAAAAACATTAGGCGTGGCCAAAACAACTGTTTGGAACATTCTTAAAAAGAAGGAATGCACCGGTGAGCTCAGCAACACCAAAAGACCCGGAAGACCACGGAAAACAACTGTGGTGGATGACCGAAGAATTCTTTCCCTGGAGAAGAAAACACCCTTCACAACAGTTGGCTAGATCAAGAACACTCTCCAGGAGGTACGTGTATGTGTGTCAAAGTCAACAATCAAGAGAAGACTTCACCAGAGTGAATACAGAGGGTTCACCACAAGATGTAAACCATGTGGATGACCGAAGAATTCTTTCCCTGGAGAAGAAAACACCCTTCACAACAGTTGGCTAGATCAAGAACACTCTCCAGGAGGTACGTGTATGTGTGTCAAAGTCAACAATCAAGAGAAGACTTCACCAGAGTGAATACAGAGGGTTCACCACAAGATGTAAACCATTGGTGAGCCTCAAAAACATGAAGGCCAGATTAGAGTTTGCCAAACGACATCTAAAAAAGCCTTCACAGTTCTGGAACAACATCCTATGGACAGATGAGACCAAGATCAACTTGTACCAGAGTGATGGGAAGAGAAGAGTATGGAGAAGGAAAGGAACTGCTCATGATCCTAAGCATACCACCTCATCAGTGAAACATGGTGGTGGTAGTGTCATGGCGTGGGCATGTATGGCTGCCAATGGAACTGGTTCTCTTGTATTTATTGATGATGTGACTGCTGACAAAAGCAGCAGGATTAATTCTGAAGTGTTTCCGGCAATATTATCTGCTCATATTCAGCCAAATGCTTCAGAACTCATTGGACGCCGCTTCACAGTGCAGATGGACAATGACCCAAAGCATACTGCAAAAGCAACCAAAGAGTTTAAGGCAAAGAAGTGGAATGTTATGCAATGGCCAAGTCAATCACCTGACCTGAATCCGATTGAGCATGCATTTCACTTGCTGAAGACAAAACTGAAGGGAAAATTCCCCAAGAACAAGCAGGAACTGAAGACAGTTGCAGTAGAGGCCTGGCAGAGCATCACCGGGAATGAAACCCAGCGTCTGGTGCATGCAATTCAGCCTGAAGTCAGGCTGCATAATTGACATCTGCAAAGGATTTGCAACCATGTATTAAAAAGTGAAAGTTTGATTTATGATTATTATTCTGTCCCATTACTTTTGGTCCCTCAACAATAAGGAGGTACATATGCAAACTGTTGTAATTCCTACACCGTTCACCTGATTTGGATGTAAATACCCTCAAATTAAAGCTGACAGTCTGCAGTTAAAGCACATCTTGTTTGTATCTTTTCAAATCCATTGTGGTGGTGTATAGAGCCAAAAATGTTAGAATTGTGTCGATGTCCCAATATTTATGGACCTGACTGTATGTATATATGTATGTATATATATATATATATATATATATATATATATATATATAATGTATACACACATGTGATTTTGCATTTCCGGTTAGGTGGCGTGCGCGCCCTACTCCTGCCGCCATTGGTAGCCTCGGCTGTCAATCACCGTGTCCCGGCCGGTGATTCCCCGCCGGCACCCAGCGATCACCGAGTATCACTGAAGGGGGAGAGACCTGTATGTAAACAATACAGATCTCTCCCCTGTTAGCTCTTGCACATTGGTTTGTATTGCTCTGCATAGCAGAGCAATACAAAGCACTGTGCTTACACAGCGAAACAAACACACAGCACATAGTAAAGTTTGATTGCCCCAGATGTTAACCCCTTCCTGCCCAGTGCCATTAGTACAGTGTCAGTGCTTTTTATTAGCACTGATCACTGTATTAGTGTCACTGGGGATGTCAGTGTCAGTTTCCCTCCAGTGTCAGAATGCCCGCCACAGTCCCACTATAAGTCTCTGATTGCTGCCAAATTCCAGTATATATACCGCCATTTGTAGATGCTATAACTTTCATGTAAACCAATTAATTTACATGTATTGGGATTTTTTTTAGCAAAGACATGTAGCAGAATACATTTTGGCCTAAATTTATGATGAAATTTAGATTTTTTTAACTATTTTTACTGGACATGTTTAATAGCAAAAAGTCAAAAATATAGTTTTTTTTCTCAAAATTGGCGTTTTTTTTTTGTTTATAGCGCAACAAATAAAAAATGCATCGATCAAATACCACCAAAAGAAAGCTCCATTTGTGGGGAAAAAAAGGACGTAAATTTCATTTGGGTGCAGCATTGCATGAGTGAGCAATTTTCAGTTAAAGTAACGCAGCACCGCATCGCAAAAAAAGGCCTGCAAAGGAAAGGGGGGAGGGGTAAATCCTCTGGAGGGCAAGCGGTAAAATACACATTTTAGATCTGAAGATCAGTTAAACACACCCCCCTCCCAAACATAATATTTTCTGAAAGCATAGACCCTGTAAAATAAAATGGTGGCAGTTGACATTTTTTTATGTCACATAATGATTTTAGCACACATTTTTTAAAACCTATATCTTTAGTAAAAATACAATAAGGTATTTGTAGTGCACACAAACCATTTTCTAATAAAGTATAAAATATTAGGTTGTGTAGAATAAATGGATACCAAACATGTCAAGCCTTAAAACTGTGCCTAACCCAAGACAATGCTTTATAAAAGCCTTTACAGGTCATCAGTTTCGAGTTAAATGTGAATGATGGTCATTAACTATTGTGTGCAATCCAGCATGCATGACAATACTTCTGCAGGAGTGAGGGGTAGTTGAATGGGGGGTGTACCTTCACGTACAACAGAAAGCAGACAGTTGGCTTGACAAAGTGTGTTTAAACGCCTGTGCTGCTACCCATATAAACCTCTGGGCTGGTCTTAATATAATTATTGCCATTTCTTTTGACATCATGAGCGCTTGTGAGCAGAGGATGCTATATGCTTTACGTTGCTTTTTCTTTCAAGTCACAGCTCTCTGATCTGCACAGTCTGTGTAGTCTACCCTTTCCTGGTAGACTGACATTCTTTTTTTCTAAGGACTATTGTCGCTAACCACTAACAAGTAGACAAATCTAAAATTCTTTCCTTACTTGATGTAGTCTTGCTCTGAGTAAGCCACTCAAAGTGTTAAAGAAAGTCAAAAACAACCAGGCAGCTAGCATTTTCAGAGGTCAGCGATGACAGCTTATATATTTTTCTGATAATGCATCCTTTAATGATTCCCAGATTATTATGCATCCTTCCCAGTAATTCTTATTTGAGCCAAACAGTAAAAGTTATGGTTCCGCAAAGTAATCTATGTCAGTGTTGTAAAATGTGGTTGCCTTCATTTGGTGTTGTCATACTTCATTTGCTAATCTAGTTCATATTCAGCTTCTCATAACATAGGCCCTGTCAGATCTGAAAAGCAGCTTACTTAAGCATATTACAATAGCAATAACAATTTTCTTTTTAGTTCTTTTATTTATGTTAGCAAAGCTATTTATACAACTTGCCCTCCTCAGGATTTACCCCCCTTCATGACCAGGCCATATTATGCATTACGGCACCTGTGCGTTTTTTATTTTTTGCGCTATAAACAAAAAAAGGCTGACAATTTTGAGAAAAAAACAGTGCTGTTGACTTTTTGCTATTAAACATGTCCAGTAAAAAAATTTAAAATATCAAATTTCGTCATAAATTAGGCCAAAATGTGTTCTGCTATGTCTTTGATAAAAAATCCTAATACGTGTAAATGAATTGGTTTACATGAAAGTTATAGCATTTACAAATGGCGGTGTGTATATATACTGGAATTAAATTTTTTTTTGTACTAGTAATGGTGGCGATCAGTGACTTATAGCAGGACTGCGGCGGGCATTCTGACACTGGAGTGAACTGACTTGGTGTCACTGGCATCCCCAGTGACACCAGTACAGGGATCAGTGCTAAGAAAAAGCACTGACACTGTACTAATGGCACTGGGCAGGAAGGGTTAACATGGGGGATTCAAAGGGTTAACTGTGTGCTGTGTGTTGTTGTTCCCACTGTAAGAACACTGCTATGCAGAGCCATACAAAACAGTGTGCAGGAGCTGACAGGGGAGAGTTCTTTAGTTATACACAGGTCTCTCCCCCATTGGAGATACTCGGTGATCACTGGGTGCCGACGAGAAATCACTGGCCGGGACCCAGTGATTGACAGCCGAGGCCACGAATGGCTGCGTGTGTAAGGTGCGTACGCCCCTTACCCAGAACTGCAAAATCACATATATATATGTGATTTTGCACACCTGTGCCACCCTGTAGCAGTATTTCTACTATAGGGTGGCACAGTCTTTTCAATATCAAAATCATAACAAACTGTCAAGTGTTACAGCTATAATGTCATCATATACAAGTGTCAAATATACAAGACATGCAAGCCTCTATATTGCTTTGCATAGATTGTAGTAGATGTGATTAGACAAAGGGGCCGCAAAGCCCAGGTGATCCCAAAAAACAACCATTCTGACAAAATAACACATAGGTAATGGTAGTCAGTTTCCATGTGCCCACATGTGCCCACGATGCTTCAAAGGAGGAGCCTCCTCACTATTTGCAACAAAAAACAGGGGGGGGGGGGGGGAGAGAAGGCAGGAAAAAGGAGGGAAAAGAAAGAAGTCAGGCACCGCCCTATTTCTCTTGTGTAAAACGTACTGCACTCTATACCACCTAGAGCAAATTTTTTGTACCCCACTTCCTGGTATTAATTTGTTATGGAGGCCTTATGGGCTAACAAGAAAATGTTGTCTATTTGTGGGGGCATCAGGTGGAGATCTACGTCATCCTTCCAGTGGTGGAAAAAGAGGATTGCAGATCATCAGCCGGGGTCATAAAGGTAACCATACAATATAGATAACGTATGTCTGGAGGGTTCCCCGTTACTGCACAACTGTTCAAAAGAAGTAAGGGCTTGAGGTGAGTAACACACTTTTTTGAAACGTTTGCAAAAAATATCTGAGCTGGATAGAGGTCAAGTCATCAAGAGGTGGATCTGATAGCCTGGAGAGCCTGGAGAGTGAGGGGAGACTTCCCCGTGGCCAAACATCCGCCAGACGAGATCTCCCTTGGTGCGCCAACAGTGCTGGGACAAGGTCATCCAGTGCCCAGGGCGAACATGGCAAACTGCGCCTGTCCCCCCCCCCCCCCCAAGGATAGGGCTAATAATGGTGTAAGGTTTGTAATGCATGTACTGTTTGTAACATGCACTAAAATAGTACTAATGTACCGTCTGGCTTTTGAAGTTGAAATGAGACATCTCAGGGAAATGGCAACCTGTGGAGTGCGTACTGCACCACAGTGAAGGGTGGGTGTGCCTAAATTATGATGGCTGGGAGGGGGCAAACTGGCACCACCTAGGTGCCTCAACTGCTGCATCCTTTAGCTGCGGAGTTAATATACACATGCTGTGGCTGTAATGTTTTGCTTCACAGCTGCACATGAATTATACCCTTTGTCAAACTTGACCCATTCAACTGAATGGTGCTGCTCTGCAACTGCCCCACAACTTTGCAATGCACATGGTTGCAGCATGCTAGTGGAAGGTTGAAGGTGCTAAAGCAATCGGTGAGGAGGCAATACAATGCCACCTTTTCAGCCAATCAAATGCTCTCTGAAGATCAATCAGAATGCTGATTGCTCTTCAGAGACCAAAACACGTGTGAACAAGCCCTAATTATTTGGTTTTAATTTTTTAAATATAGCTTTTAGAATGTAATTATTTTTTGTTACATCTTTAACAGCCATGTAGGGGCTTTGTTGAAATATCAGGGCTCTAAACAGACCCCTGATGTCTCACTTTTGAGACAGACACTATGTGGCACCTTGTGTTTTGGTGCATGTGAAAAGGCATGTGTTAGCAAATGCAAGGGGGTGTCATTAACAGTTAATGGCACTGCCGTACATCTACTAATGGACAGTGTGTTCATGTCAGGAAAGTCACAATTCTTTGCACATTTTTGACATGCAAAGGTGTGAACCTAGCCTTATAGTGAGCTCACATTGGTGTGCTGCAGTTTGGTCGCTGTGTGATTGTATGTGCAGTTTCAGGAGCGCTCCTATTGACTTCTATTACACGCAACATGTAGGACTTTGATGTGCTTTCATGAAAACGCACTGTGTAATAGAATTCATTGGGAGCGCTCCCAAAGCCGCAGCTATACCGCACATACAATTAAACTGTGGCCACTGGTGTCAGTGAGAGGAATAGTGCCCCATCACTGGTGTCAGTTCGAAGAACAGTGCCCTATAGTTGGGGCCAGTGGGTGGAACAGTGCCCCATCGTTGGTGTCAGTGAGAGGAATAGTGCCCCATCACTGGTGTCAGTTGGAGGAACAGTGCCCTATAGTTGGGGTCAGTGGGTGGAACAGTGCCCCATCGTTGGTGTCAGTGAGAGGAATAGTGCCCCATTGTTGGTGACAGTGGGAGGAATATTGCCCCATTGTTTGTTTATTTATTATTTGGATCATTTCCACATTCTTCCTGTGTGGGTGGTGTGTATGAGAACAGAAAAGGAGAGTAAATTCCTCAAACAGGGTATGCAATTAATACCCAACAGATTTTCTAACTATTCCTCGCACTACCCAAAACTGAAATTGAAAAAATAAATGGCATAGCTGAGCTTTAACTGGACTTTAATTGAACAAGCGCTGTAATATAATACCTTTTTGTAGCACCTTTTACAAATCTCCTTTTGCAAACACTGTATGTGTTCAAAACTTGTTGAAAGCATATTTCAACTTTTGCAGATAAATTGGGACAATAACTACTTTATATTTGTTGTCAGTCCTTTCCAGCATCAGTTAGTGTCAGATTGTCCCCCACAGTATCACAGTCCTGTTATAAGTTGCTGATCACCGTCATTACCAGTATAAAAATAAATTAAAATTCCAGTGTGTGTATATGTATGTGTATGTGTATAT